AATTATCTTTAAATAGCTGTTTATTCACTTTTACCTGGAAATCGGGCTCTTTGACTGAATAACTTGACTATCTTATACTTCATTTGTGTTGTGTGAATGATAATGTAGTAAAAATTGTATTATTCCAAGGAGAACTTTTCTCTGTTTTAGGGATCTGACGATTATACCATAAAAGTTTGGTCTATCAAAGGTTCAGGGAGTACACCAACATGTACTTTGCGCCATACCCTTCGAGGTCATGTTGCGGAAATAATTGAGCTTGCAATATCTATGGATAATCATTTGCTTGCGTCGATAGATTCAAACTGTTGTCTTGTTGTGTGGTGCTTGAAAACTGCTCAACCAGTAGTAGCTGTCCGGGGATCACGTAATAATCGAGTGCTATCTGGTCTTGGTTTCATCGGCGTACCCAAAACTGTGTGTTCAACAGGTAAGAAGTTACATGCTACCTATCCGTAAGAAATTTTAATCTTTATCATGGAAGTTGAGACAAATAGGGGTGCTTGTCCAGTATTCTAAGTGTTTCATATCAGTATCATTATTCTTTCTCTTTACACAAATAGTTCATACAAAATATGCAGCCTAATCTTTCAGAATTTAAACGACTGGATCATGCGTAATCGCGGATATTTTCACTGTGAACCTGTCCTGTATCCTGCCAGATTTGTTACAAAGAACATTGAAAAGTACTGTATTCGCTTAAAAGTTCATTCAGTCGATCGGAATCTGTAACTTATGACCATAACACATCACTCATTGCAAGGCCAGTGTGTTTAAAAACAGGGCCCTTTTAGGTAGGGAAAGACTAAATTTGAAGGAATTACTGACTACACTAAAAGAATTCTTTTCATGCTGGTATAGTCAGCAATTATTGACTACTCACATCTAAGAAAAAAGGGTGCTGATAAGAGCTACTCTACTTTCATATGTTGGTTGGATTCTCGCATTGTTTATTCACTCATTATGGCTGTAACATTCCCATGACTTTAACCGTGCTGTGTGGCTCATGGGTTTAGGCTTACTGTCCCAACCGCTGCATCAGTGGATTGTAGCTCATTCTGCGTACCTTGATATGGATAACCAGTGTCATAGGGTACCACACAGGTGTGGTCCATAGCCTAGCACTTAAACCTGTATTAGATTAGTAATTTGTATATCTTCATTTCTTACTATGTCACATTAGATAGTTTTGTGGGGTGAGATCTCCCTCTTTATGGTGGAATGTGGTAGCACTAGGGTTCTTCCTATAAAAAACGAAAATATTCTACAACCCTACTTTCTGATTCTTTAGTCTGTGGTAAAACAGCTTGGAAGTAAAAACCGCGTTACTCATCTCATCTTTTGACTTTTCGGTCTTAGTAAGTTTATTAAAGGAGCTAGCAATATCTTTCTTCACTTTTAAAACGACCTTACGTGTTGCATAAACTTTCCTGTCGGGCAACTTCACTTGTGATTTTTCATTAAGGCATTTTGAGATAATAGTCATCACAGGGTGCTCTGTAACTGTTGCCATCACGAAATTCACCCTCTGAGTTTCTGGAGATTCAGTGGCTAGTTCTCACAGTTTTTCAGGTGTATGCATGGGATTAAGGACTACGGCAGAAAGCTCATTACTAGACCGAATCCCGCTTATCAGTCTCCCATGGACTGTCCGGCTGAACGGAACAGTGAGAACTAAGAGGAATACTAAAACTCACCATTGTCTCTTTGTAATCTCTGCTTATAAAATGCAGAGTCTTCTAAACACATTGAGTGACAATTTGAGAATGTTTGGGATGCGTTTCTTGCCACCCAAATGCAAATTGTTGCTCCAGGACTGGTCTTCAACCGTGCCTTGGCTAACAAATAGTAGCGCCGCCCGGATATCCGATTGTCTATGAAGGGTGGGGTGTACTATGTTGCAGTCCTCTCTGTTCTACTGTATGGCCGTGAAACATGGGCATTAAAGTTAGAATAGATGAGATGGCTTCAGGTGTTTGACCACCGTTGCCCTCGTAGCGTAGGCCATGTTTCGTGGTTTCACCACGTGGGTAACGCTGAAGTAAGGCGTAGAGTTTTAGGGAGGGAACGTAAGTTAGTTGGTACTGTTATGAACCTTCATTTACTGAGATAGCTGTCACTTGTGTAAGGTATTCGTAGCCACCGTCTGCCTCATCGCACATTGTTAGCCTAAGTAAGTTCAAGCTAGAAAAAGGCTCGGGGTTGCCGGACTACAACATGGTATCAATGAATGAAGTCGTTGACCGTCTCTTTGAGTTGTGTGTGGTGATGCAGACTAGGTGGTTGGGGTTCATGGGACAAGGGAAACCAAAGGTTGGAGACTTTAGGTGATACGGCTCAAAACCGATGTCAGTGGTGCAAATGTATACACACATTATCCTCAACTTAATCGCTATACTTAATCTCGTTTTCTCACCCTCCTTCATCTCTCTTACTACTTTCTACTTCTTTTGACCGGTTTTCCTTTCTTTCCTTACCTTCCATTTTGTTGTCTTGTTACTTGGTGTGCTAATATGAGGTATTGCGACTTTGGCCGTTACACAGTAATGCCTGGTCGTATGTTGATATTGATGATAAAAACCGCGTTACTCATCTCATCTTTTGACTTTTCGGTCTTAGTAAGTTTATTAAAGGAGCTAGCAATATCTTTCTTCACTTTTAAAACGACCTTACGTGTTGCATAAACTTTCCTGTCGGGCAACTTCACTTGTGATTTTTCATTAAGGCATTTTGAGATAATAGTCATCACAGGGTGCTCTGTAACTGTTGCCATCACGAAATTCACCCTCTGAGTTTCTGGAGATTCAGTGGCTAGTTCTCACAGTTTTTCAGGTGTATGCATGGGATTAAGGACTACGGCAGAAAGCTCATTACTAGACCGAATCCCGCTTATCAGTCTCCCATGGACTGTCCGGCTGAACGGAACAGTGAGAACTAAGAGGAATACTAAAACTCACCATTGTCTCTTTGTAATCTCTGCTTATAAAATGCAGAGTCTTCTGAACACATTGAGTGACAATTTGAGAATGTTTGGGATGCGTTTCTTGCCACCCAAATGCAAATTGTTGCTCCAGGACTGGTCTTCAACCGTGCCTTGGCTAACAAATAGTAGCGCCGCCCGGATATCCGATTGTCTATGAAGGGTGGGGTGTACTATGTTGCAGTCCGCTCTGTTCTACTGTATGGCCGTGAAACATGGGCATTAAAGTTAGAATAGATGAGATGGCTTCAGGTGTTTGACCACCGTTGCCCTCGTAGCGTAGGCCATGTTTCGTGGTTTCACCACGTGGGTAACGCTGAAGTAAGGCGTAGAGTTTTAGGGAGGGAACGTAAGTTAGTTGGTACTGTTATGAACCTTCATTTACTGAGATAGCTGTCACTTGTGTAAGGTATTCGTAGCCACCGTCTGCCTCATCGCACATTGTTAGCCTAAGTAAGTTCAAGCTAGAAAAAGGCTCGGGGTTGCCGGACTACAACATGGTATCAATGAATGAAGTCGTTGACCGTCTCTTTGAGTTGTGTGTGGTGATGCAGACTAGGTGGTTGGGGTTCATGGGACAAGGGAAACCAAAGGTTGGAGACTTTAGGTGATACGGCTCAAAACCGATGTCAGTGGTGCAAATGTATACACACATTATCCTCAACTTAATCGCTATACTTAATCTCGTTTTCTCACCCCTCCTTCATCTCTCTTACTACTTTCTACTTCTTTTGACCGGTTTTCCTTTCTTTCCTTACCTTCCATTTTGTTGTCTTGTTACTTGGTGTGCTAATATGAGGTATTGCGACTTTGGCCGTTACACAGTAATGCCTGGTCGTATGTTGATATTGATGATAAAAACCGCGTTACTCATCTCATCTTTTGACTTTTCGGTCTTAGTAAGTTTATTAAAGGAGCTAGCAATATCTTTCTTCACTTTTAAAACGACCTTACGTGTTGCATAAACTTTCCTGTCGGGCAACTTCACTTGTGATTTTTCATTAAGGCATTTTGAGATAATAGTCATCACAGGGTGCTCTGTAACTGTTGCCATCACGAAATTCACCCTCTGAGTTTCTGGAGATTCAGTGGCTAGTTCTCACAGTTTTTCAGGTGTATGCATGGGATTAAGGACTACGGCAGAAAGCTCATTACTAGACCGAATCCCGCTTATCAGTCTCCCATGGACTGTCCGGCTGAACGGAACAGTGAGAACTAAGAGGAATACTAAAACTCACCATTGTCTCTTTGTAATCTCTGCTTATAAAATGCAGAGTCTTCTGAACACATTGAGTGACAATTTGAGAATGTTTGGGATGCGTTTCTTGCCACCCAAATGCAAATTGTTGCTCCAGGACTGGTCTTCAACCGTGCCTTGGCTAACAAATAGTAGCGCCGCCCGGATATCCGATTGTCTATGAAGGGTGGGGTGTACTATGTTGCAGTCCGCTCTGTTCTACTGTATGGCCGTGAAACATGGGCATTAAAGTTAGAATAGATGAGATGGCTTCAGGTGTTTGACCACCGTTGCCCTCGTAGCGTAGGCCATGTTTCGTGGTTTCACCACGTGGGTAACGCTGAAGTAAGGCGTAGAGTTTTAGGGAGGGAACGTAAGTTAGTTGGTACTGTTATGAACCTTCATTTACTGAGATAGCTGTCACTTGTGTAAGGTATTCGTAGCCACCGTCTGCCTCATCGCACATTGTTAGCCTAAGTAAGTTCAAGCTAGAAAAAGGCTCGGGGTTGCCGGACTACAACATGGTATCAATGAATGAAGTCGTTGACCGTCTCTTTGAGTTGTGTGTGGTGATGCAGACTAGGTGGTTGGGGTTCATGGGACAAGGGAAACCAAAGGTTGGAGACTTTAGGTGATACGGCTCAAAACCGATGTCAGTGGTGCAAATGTATACACACATTATCCTCAACTTAATCGCTATACTTAATCTCGTTTTCTCACCCCTCCTTCATCTCTCTTACTACTTTCTACTTCTTTTGACCGGTTTTCCTTTCTTTCCTTACCTTCCATTTTGTTGTCTTGTTACTTGGTGTGCTAATATGAGGTATTGCGACTTTGGCCGTTACACAGTAATGCCTGGTCGTATGTTGATATTGATGATAAAAACCGCGTTACTCATCTCATCTTTTGACTTTTCGGTCTTAGTAAGTTTATTAAAGGAGCTAGCAATATCTTTCTTCACTTTTAAAACGACCTTACGTGTTGCATAAACTTTCCTGTCGGGCAACTTCACTTGTGATTTTTCATTAAGGCATTTTGAGATAATAGTCATCACAGGGTGCTCTGTAACTGTTGCCATCACGAAATTCACCCTCTGAGTTTCTGGAGATTCAGTGGCTAGTTCTCACAGTTTTTCAGGTGTATGCATGGGATTAAGGACTACGGCAGAAAGCTCATTACTAGACCGAATCCCGCTTATCAGTCTCCCATGGACTGTCCGGCTGAACGGAACAGTGAGAACTAAGAGGAATACTAAAACTCACCATTGTCTCTTTGTAATCTCTGCTTATAAAATGCAGAGTCTTCTAAACACATTGAGTGACAATTTGAGAATGTTTGGGATGCGTTTCTTGCCACCCAAATGCAAATTGTTGCTCCAGGACTGGTCTTCAACCGTGCCTTGGCTAACAAATAGTAGCGCCGCCCGGATATCCGATTGTCTATGAAGGGTGGGGTGTACTATGTTGCAGTCCTCTCTGTTCTACTGTATGGCCGTGAAACATGGGCATTAAAGTTAGAATAGATGAGATGGCTTCAGGTGTTTGACCACCGTTGCCCTCGTAGCGTAGGCCATGTTTCGTGGTTTCACCACGTGGGTAACGCTGAAGTAAGGCGTAGAGTTTTAGGGAGGGAACGTAAGTTAGTTGGTACTGTTATGAACCTTCATTTACTGAGATAGCTGTCACTTGTGTAAGGTATTCGTAGCCACCGTCTGCCTCATCGCACATTGTTAGCCTAAGTAAGTTCAAGCTAGAAAAAGGCTCGGGGTTGCCGGACTACAACATGGTATCAATGAATGAAGTCGTTGACCGTCTCTTTGAGTTGTGTGTGGTGATGCAGACTAGGTGGTTGGGGTTCATGGGACAAGGGAAACCAAAGGTTGGAGACTTTAGGTGATACGGCTCAAAACCGATGTCAGTGGTGCAAATGTATACACACATTATCCTCAACTTAATCGCTATACTTAATCTCGTTTTCTCACCCCTCCTTCATCTCTCTTACTACTTTCTACTTCTTTTGACCGGTTTTCCTTTCTTTCCTTACCTTCCATTTTGTTGTCTTGTTACTTGGTGTGCTAATATGAGGTATTGCGACTTTGGCCGTTACACAGTAATGCCTGGTCGTATGTTGATATTGATGATAATGAACCATTGCCACATATTCAAGCCTCAGAAATTAGCCCTAGACCTCTTAAATCACACTAACATATAGAGCAGAGGGAATACCAACTGTTGTATGATAACATATCGAGCAGGGGACGTCACCATATTTCTTTTTCTCTATCTTTTATCTCATTTCATTGTGTTGAGATGCTGAAGTGAGAGTTTGCAGTAATATCAGGTCCAGTGCCGTTAATAATTGACTGGTTTACTATCCAGACTAGCATCTACGGCCATTTTATCTTTAAGTTTCGCAATAAGACTAAAATGTCATCATAGTTTGACTCCGTCCAACGTATAATGTCTTTGCAACTTGCTGTTTAGGAATGTGGGATATTTGTGGCTAAGACCTTAAAGGCCAAAACTTTCCGATTTACTAAATCTGAGTCGATTTGAATTGTCATCGTATTAAACTTGATACTTTTGTCACATCTTTTCCTTTGTACGTTTTATAGTTCCATCCATTTCAAATAGTGGTGAGCATCCTTCTGGTATGCTTGTAGTATCATCCTTTGGCGGTTACCTACATGTAATACCTTATGTTCATACTGTTCGTTGTGACCGTTGTAACCAACATCCAGCTGACGAATTCGGCCATGTAGAAGCTAACCGTGAAAACAGATGGATATGTTGTACTGTTCAACTACTCCGCGCTACTCGTTTCACAACAGCTCCTGAAGGGACACCAAATGTATTTTGGCCATCGATTGCGTGTATTGACGTCAGTCCAGGTAAGCTGTTAAGTTAATTTTTCTCCACATATTTCTTTTATATATTCTACTTCGGAAACGTCTTATATGTTTGTTTGAACATAATCGTCTGTGTTCGGAATATGTTATCTGCCAAGTTCAGGATTGCACTAATTAACATTTCAATTTGAAAATGAACTTTATTATCACTGCAGAAAATTCAATCAGCTTATGATTTAACTGGTAATTACATTAGTTTCAAAATTGAAATGTTCTCTAACCGAGACTCATTTAGTTGAAAATCAACTGACTAGATATATGAGCCTTGATTATATTAACTTTTAAGCTTTTGGTATGGAATTGTATGACTTTTGATATTACATTTGATACCTTTATTTCTGTCCTGATGAGTAAACATCGTAAAGATGGCAAACAACGCTTTCCTAGTAGTACATCATATTACCGATGAAGGAAGGCAGTAAAACCTGAAAGTAATCGCTATTCTCGAGAAATTTATCAACCATGCACTAAGGCATTAGAGATAGTTCTCCTATGAATATGAATAATGTGGGCTATATCAATAAATGACGTTACTAGTATTGTAATTTTACACTGCCTCAAAAGCAAGACGTACCACTGGAAAATAAGTTGATTCTCTAGGCAAAAATACTTCCGCCACACATAATTTGCGTAATGTTTGTTTAAGTTACGCAGTACAAATGATTTATTCAGGTATGCTTTTTTTATCACTCCCCAGGCGGACTTTTAGTTGCAGCCGGTTGTTCAGATCAACGTATTCGTTTGTACCAATTCATGAATCCACTTAAACCAGAACCAGCCGGCGTTCTAGCTGCTCATGAGGTGAGTTCGCTGCAATGTGTTTCTTATTGGTATGAATAACAGGAGGCAAAGGGAAAGATGTAGAGAAGATGTAGTTGAGGAGGTTAGGTTATGTTTGACTGTCTTATCTGCGGACGGTTGATACTTCGCGGCTGCTCACATCATGGAAGGCTATTTCTTCTTCAGGTACCTGGCCGCAGAGCTCGTGGGACATCTCCTTGACACCTGTCACAGACAGCCTTGTATGGGTTGCTGCCTTGAGGTTTGGTTGTTCTCACTCCGGATAGACAAAAGCCCTATACCACCAGCACCGGAGAATTGTGGGCCGTCGGGGAGTGTGGTATTTTTGTGGTGGCTTTTTTCTAACCCCCCCGTTCCATTGAAAAAGCAGGATCAGCGTGGCACTGCTAATCATCTAAGGGGAGCACCTAATTCCTGTCATTTCATCCAGCTGGCAGCAGTACGACTTCGCCCTCAGACCTCTATCATAGTATAGTAATTTACATCATAGTGGTAACTGCTTTTCGTCTTACCACTACCCAACAGACCTTTCTGGTATGGTAGAACCTCGAGGAAACAAGCTTTCCACCAGTATATCTCATTGAGTCATTGTGATGTACAAGCCCGACCACCATGTCAAGGTAGCAGCTATCGGTCAGGTAAAAGTAGACGTAACCGCAGAATTTCGTTGCATAGATCAGTCAAGAATGTCATTCATCTTAACTTTGTTGGTAAGTTCATCGCCTCTGTACTTGAATACCAGCGAGTGGGCTTGTTAGAGCCCATTATGAGTTATCAGGATTATCAGGATGCATACTCTCTGAATTGCTTTTTCTTAGACGTGCTAATAAAGGTTTCTCTCACCTCGTCTGGTCTTACAGAGATTGATTTTGTCACGGGAGACTCCTTGGTTTTTTATCCAGGATAAGTAAATGATATAATCGTGTTAAGTAGAAACACTGACAAGATGCAGTGTCTTCTGGACACCTTGAGTCGAAATTTGAGAATGTTTGGAATGTGTTTGTGATCACCTAACTGTAAATTGTTGCTTCAGGGGTGCTTTGTGTTGGTCTCGTTTAATACTAGAGAGTGAAATGTTTGAGTGCATTGAACACTTCACGTATCTGAGAAGTTGCATCAGTCTTGGTATGTCAGTGACCGACGAAATCTTGACACAGATAAAAAAGGTTTTATTATCTCCACTTATGTCACCCCTGTGATATCCGGCTGCTTATTAACAGTTGAGTGCACTAAGCAGCAGTTCACTCTGTTATACTTTGTGGATGCTAAACATGGTCATTGAAGGTAAAGGGCATGAGAATGCTTCAGGTGATCGACCACTGTTGTTTTCATAGCAGTGACCATGTGTCGTGGTAGCAGCACATCAGTAACACAAATCAGACGTGACGTTATAGGAGAAGAGGAAAGTCGATCGATGAGTTTGTGAACACCTGTCGACTCATTTGGTTGGGATATATGTTACACTTGTATAGTTACCGTCTGCACTGTCACTGAATATCAGTCGAAGTAGGCTCACGTTGGAAAGAAAGTTGTAAGTGGTCAGACTAAAATGGAACGTCATCGCATGAAGTTTTTGACTTTTGATCCGATCCATTTAGGGTGGCACAGACATCACGTTTGGACCCATGTGTTAATGGAAACCAGTGCTTGAAGACTAAGTGATATCGTTTAAAATTGATATCATTGCCGTATGTGCATACATACATTATTTTTATCTCAATAGTCATACTGAATTTCAGTGCTGTCGCATTCCTCCTTACTCTCTTGTGACAACTTTCTGCCACCTTGGACTACTTTGTTCCTTATTTCTCTTTTTCTATCTTGGTGTATTCTCAAGTGATGTGCATTAGCTTGAACCGTTATGCAGTAATTCCGTGTTACATGTTATAGTGTCTGTGTCAGTTTTGTTTTAAGCGGAAATACGGGGCTAAATAGAAATTGATGGATCCTAGTAAGCTAATGAATCTAGAGAAAAGTTTTGCTTGCAACCGCTCATTATGTTATGGTATAACGACAGTCCTAAAAACGAACTAATTTGGGTGGATATGGAAATGATAACCAAATCTCCGTCTATCAAATAGAACAAAACACAATAGGAATTACTCAGCTTCTCTCTCTAAAACATTTGGCGAATTTCTACAAAAGATGGGAAAG